CAGGAATGCTCTCTCCTCCATTAACTTCTCTTTCCTCAGGTGGCTCACACTGTGCACATGAGTGCTCTGGGCTTGCCGGGCTATCACCTCCATGCGGCCTATGCAGGGGACTGGCAACTTAGCCCAAATGAGGTGAGGGCTCCACACACCTGGGTTATCTCCCTAAAAGCCCAGCTAGGACCCAGGTGTAGAGGAGGAGGAAATGTGTGTGTTGTGAGGAAGAACGGGCAGGGCACCTCCTCTGTGTTTCTGCTTGAAAGGGAGAGGGGTGGGGAAACATTTCTGTGATGAGCTGGGAGTTTTTCCTTATGGCTCCACTAGGGGACGCTGGGTACCGTTAAAGAAATCCTACATTTGGATTTAGACTGAGTGGTGCCACACAGCTCAGTCTTACTCTGGACACTCTTCAACAGGTGTTCCCCACTGTGGTCGGGGATATGGACAGCAGTGGCAGCCTCAACGCCCAGGTCCTGCTCCTCTTGGCAGAGCGGCTCCGAGCCAAGGCTGTCTTCCAGGTGACCCATGGTTCCTGCCTTCATCTACGGAAGCATTTCCTCTTTCTCCTCCATGAGTGTCCTGCTCTGGGGGCTCAGGGGGAGGAGCAGAGGCAACAGTGATCATAAAGAGGGAGGGAGATTTTACTTCTCCCTCTCCCCACCCAGACGCAGCAGGCCAAGTTCCTGACGTGGCAGTTTGATGGCGAGTATCGGGGAGATGACTACACAGCCACTCTGACCCTAGGAAATCCTGACCTGATTGGGGAATCGGGTGAGGAATTGGTACAGGGTTCTTTTTGTCTTGGCTGCCCGCTTGCTAATGCTGGCTATGCCTCTTCATTGTCTGTACAGTTCAGGGATTAGAAGAGAAACTTTCTGGGGGCAGGCTGGGGTGGGGGGCTGCTGGGGGTGAGGTAGAGGGCCTGTCTCTGTGAGTGACTCCATGTCTCCCCACCCCACAGTGATCATGGTTGCTCACTTCCTGCAGAGCCTCACTCATCGGCTGGTGTTGGGAGGAGAGCTAGTTTATCACCGGCGGCCAGGCGAAGAGGGGGCCATTTTGACACTGGCTGGGAAGTACTCGGGTATGGGGTGAGGAGGAATAGTGACAGGGAGGGAAATTCTGGACTTGGCTGGGGTCCTGGCCTGTGTTCTATTACAGTAATGCTCTTTTTCACTTGTACTTTGGTTTTTTTTTTTGTTTTTTTGTGTGTGTGTGTGTGTGTGTGTGTGTGGTTTTTGTTGTACTTTGGTTTTGACAGCTGTACACTGGGTAGCTACCTTGAATGTGGGATCAGGTGGGGCCCATGCAAGTTATTACCACAAGGCAAATGAACAGGTGAGTCTACTGATCCCATCCCCTGCCGCAACGAGTCCCTCCCAACCTCCACAGGCCCTGCTGACCCACTGTTCTTCGTACCCTCACTACATATACGTTTCATGCGCACCTCCATTCTGCTGATCCCCTGTCAGGACTCCTCTAGTTTTCACTGAGACAGATCCCTCTCCCATCCTTGCCCGTGGTTCTCAGGTTCAGGTTGGAGTGGAGTTTGAGGCAAATACGAGGCTGCAAGACACAACTTTCTCCTTTGGTTACCACCTGACTCTGCCCCAGGCCAACATGGTATTTAGAGGTGAGGGTTATTCAGATGACATTCGGAGGTGCTGAGGGATTGGGGTGGGGGACAGCGGGAGGGAAGCTCCGCCTTCCTCCGCTGGCCCCTTTCTCCGAGCCCTGTTAGATAACCTAGTGTATATTCTCTTCCCCAACAGGCTTGGTGGATAGTAACTGGTGTGTGGGTGCTGTGCTGGAGAAGAAGATGCCCCCCCTGCCCGTCACCCTCGCCCTTGGAGCCTTCCTTAATCACTGGCGCAACAGATTCCACTGTGGCTTCACCATCACTGTGGGCTGAGGTTGTCCCAGAGCCAGCCCCCATAACAGCTGGAACCTCCGAGTCAGGTGCCCTGGGGCCAGGAACTAGGCCCCTCTCAAGAGCCCACCTTGCTGGGTGACCTCTAGGTCCCAGGAGCAGAGTGGGGACAGTACATGCCCTCCTCAGAACTGGAGCTGCCGCAGAGGCAGCTGCTGAGGCAGTGGTTCGAGGCTCCCACCTCTGCCATCAGCCCCAGTTTCATCTTCCCATACTCATGGCTCTGGACTAAGGGAGAAGGATTAAGGGGTCTGTCTGGCTGCATTTTCTCCCCTCACTCCCACCTCCTTCATTTCCCTATGGATTGAAGCTCCTAGCCTCTTCCTCTTCAGAGCAGAAAAATCTGCATGGCATTAGCTCCCATCCTGTTTTCCATCCCAGAGTCTCCCAAGGCTGGGAAAGAAGGGCTGAAGGGCTAAATCTTTGACCCCAGAAAGTGGGGCCCACCTATTCCCAGACGGAGCTTCTTTACCTCTTAGCCCTGAGGCTTCCTCCTTCCCCATCTTCTGTGCTTCCAGAGAACAACTATTGTCCCCATGGCCACCCCTCATTCTCCCCATTACCGCATGAAGAGGCAGATATTGCTTTGATCTTTCATTGCAACCAGTGGGCTCCCTGTTTACTGGCTCCAGCCTCTGGTCCGAGCATTTTCCCCTTTCCAGTCCAGCGAGTCCAGGTGGTCTGGGGAAGGAGGCGAACTGGGCCTCAGCTGCAGGTCTCCTGGAGCAGTGGCACCATGGTGGACAGTCCCCTGGATGTTCTCGATTTGGTACCAACATGCATTGTTAATGCTTCGGAGATCAGCCAACCGGCCCAGCAGCTTCGCATATAGAAGCCTTTGGGGTCACCAGGGAAGGAGAAGAGAGATAGGCAGCTGAGAGTCTTGTCCTGAGGCCCTGACCCCCTAAACTGCCTCTCTGTGAAGCTAGGTCTGAACATTAGGGAAAATATGCTCTGATGTGACAAATGTATCAAAAGTTCCGAAGGTCCCCAGTGGGGCCCCTGTCTGACACTGACTTCTCTCACCATGCCATTTTTCTTGAACCCAGAGCTCAGAGGGCCAAGTGTGAAGAAAGCCCCAGACTTTGCCAGATATTCAGCTGTGTGGAACCTGAGGATCTGGCCTTCTAGAGCAGGTTCTAGAAGGTGGGTGTGTTCTCTGGTATAAAGCAACCCTCTTCTGGCCAAACTGGCACACTGAGGAAGAAGCAAAACAGAGAAGCGGAGTGTACTTTAGAGCCTGGTTAGATCATGGACTGTTGAACCAGGGGCTGGCGTTGGCCATGAAACTGAATGACCATAACTTCAAGGGGAATGAAAAATTAAAGGAATTGGACCAATAGAGAGGAGGGGAAGGGCCAAGGAAAGAGAGTGAACAAGATTCTTGAAAGTCTGTTTTAGTCTGGAGGAGTTGGATCGGTGAGGTGATGGATGTCATCAATCTCAGGAATGCTATTATACCGAGCCTGTGAGCTACTACTCTGCATCTCTCCTGAATAAAAAAATCTGGAAAAAGTGAGATGAAACAGCAGTAGGAGCAATTTGAATGCCGGAAATCTATGAGATGGGAGGGAAGGACTAGACCCCCAGGGGCCCTGGTTTCCCAAAGGAAAGGACAGTAAAAGCACTCATCCTGAGTTCAGTGTCTCCCTAACTCCTTCCCACCCTGGCGCAGCCTCCACGTGCCCAGTCCCACTGTACCGGTCCCGGGGATTTTGCCGCTGGCCTTTGATATAGCTCTGCAGAGTCAGTGCTATCTCCTCTTGCAACTGATCAGTCCCCTCTCTCTGGGTTATCCCAGGCCGGTCTGTAAGATAGAGAGTGGGGAAGGACAAGGTGGGAGGTTGCGGGTGGCCTGCATGGTGCCCCGGGGAGCCAAGACTGGGATAGACCCATTCCACAGGTTTGAAGACTAAAAGGCCTGGATGGATGGATTCAGGGAGCTGGGAGTTTGGGCAGAGGTGGTGGAACAAAAGCTTCTGGGCTTTGAGGGATGCTTCCCAGGAGAGAAGAGGGCCATGGCAGCCATGAACACATACTCCAGGCTCCTGGAGCTGCAGTTGGCGCAGTGTCCTATGGAAGCCGAAGAGAACTCCAAAAACTCTTCCTGGAACCCCACTGTGGCTTCCAGGCACACGGGCTTCAGTAGTTGTGTCACACGGGCTTCGTAGTTGTGGCTCTCGGGCTCTAGAGCACAGGCTCAGTAGTTGTGGCGCACGGGCTGAGTTGCTCCGCGGCATGTGGGATCTTCCCGGACCAGGGCTCGAACCCGTGTCCCCTGCTTTGGCAGGAGGATTCCTAACCACTGCACCACCAGGCTTAGGAGCCTTCAGGTCACCTCGCCACATACCATACCGAAGGGATGCATGGCCTCTACTGTTCTAGCACCATCTCACCATGCATTCCATCTTCTACTGTGTAGCGAAGAGGCCCACAGAGGAAGTTTTGTGTTTGGAGACAGAAAGTGGCATTGAGTGCAATGTGACATTTCTACAGCTGCTTCCTTGAGAAGGGAGATCTGGTCCTCCATGGGCCAGAGCAAGAAACCCGCTCTTTAGACTCTAGCCTGAACTTCAGAGAGGGAGGGGAACTCCCGGTTCTGATTGAGACACTTAAAAAAGCTGGGAATCCAACACCTGGTACTTGAAAAGGCTGAGGGATGGGTTAGTTTGGTTAGTGACCTTTTTTGGGGGCGGGGGTGGTGGTGAGGGTGGGATTATAATTTACTGGAGTGTTTTCTTCCTGAAAGGTAAGGGGAGGTCACATACCGAAAGGGGCAGATCCTTGGTGAGCCTGATGATTTGCTGTACCATGAAAGTGTTGATGTCAGCGAAATGCGTGAGCAGAGGCAGTACAGGGAACTGGGTGGATATCACTGGTGATGGGTGAACAGACGAGCTGCAGGCTGCAGAGATCAGAGCCTGGGTGAGAGGCCCCGGTCCTAGGGATCTCTTTTAGGCCTCTCCAGCTTTATCTTGGAAGCGTTCCGGGCTAAGGAGTCTGCCTCGGCTGGGGTTCTGGAGAAGTCCTGTCCTCGACTGGTGCGTGGCACACAGCCCCCTCCCTCAAGGCCAGCCTCCTTGGGCACGCTTTTGGTCATATTTCAGCTTGAATCCTGTATATGCTCACCCTGAACTGCACAAACTGGTCAAACATGAGGGGCGAGTTTGGGCCCCCAGCAGTGTCTGGACTAGCTCTTTCTCCTCAGCTGCATCGATGCTTGCTGTGCCCGCCGCTGGGCCTGTCTTGCTTACCGCAACGCCCGGGCTTCTGCCGATGGGATCATTGTGCCCGGGGAAGGGATGTGACAAAACTATTGAGACTAGCAGAGAGCACCTTTCTCTGTCAGCCCCCGGTCTGGGGCCCTCGGACACTGCGTAACGAAGGACGCGGGGAGGGAGGAGAGTTCTTGAGGCCTCCTTGGGCTTGGCTGAAGTCCCAGGGGCTCCAGGTGGTAGGGGATTCCTGTACACTTTCCCCGACCTGTGAGGCACTGCAGCAGAAAACAATGCACTGTGGGAAGGAAAAAAAAGGATGGACAATAAAGTGGGAGCAGTATAAGGAGATGTTTGACTTCTGGGGGAGCACTGAAGAGGGAGGGCTCGTGATACCAAAAACATCACCTTATGTTTGCATAGCTTTATAATTTCAAAGCTTCTGAGGTTAAGTCTCACTGACTGAAACAATCCTGTGGGTGGAGAGGGCAGGTGTTATTATCCATATTTTTCAGAAACAGACTGACATTCCAGTGACAGGTCCAAGGTCACAAAATACTTACGTGATGTAGACTGAATTCAAGATGTTTTGACTTCTAGTTTCCTTTCCACTGCTCCATATTGAAAAGCAGTGTGACGTCATGGAGAAAGCAAGGGTCTGGTGAATACTGACTCGACAACTTTTCAGCTGAGTGGACTTGGACAAGTTGATTTCTGTTACTTTAAGTTGATTATGAGTTACATTATCTTTTGGGGGCAGAGCCTTATTACCTGGCACAGAGAAAAAAAATTAAATAATTTAAATTAAATAATTATTAATAATTTAAATTATTTAATAATTTAAATTAAATAATAAATTAAATAATAAAAAATTAAATAATTTTAAATAATTAAATAATTAAATAATTCAACAATTATCAAGTACCTACTAAGTGACAGGCACTATATTTGAGAGATGGAAGAGTAAAAGCAAGCCATGTCAAAATCTAGGGGAAGAGCATTCCAGGTAGAGGCAATGGCAAGTGCAAGTATAAGTTACAACAGTCTTGAGAAGAGTGTGCTTGGCGTGTTTGAGAATGGCATTGACGTCAGAGTGGCTGGGATGGGTTGAGCCAGGGGAAGAGTAGGAAGGGAAATCTGAGCGGTGGTATGGAGGAGCTGGCCCATGAGATCATGGACCATAAGAGAGAGGAGGAGCCCTTGGAGGTTTTGAGCAGAATAGTGACGTTGTCTGACTTGTTTCAAAAAGCTTACTCTGCCTGCCCTGTGGAGAATACGCTGTGGGAACAAGGGCAAAGCATAGGCAGTGGAGGGACGTAGTGGATTCTCGGGATGGAAAGGGGCCAACTCACTGTCCTTCATGCCAGCATCTAGGCACTTCTGCAACCTGCAGGCTGGGCCTTGTTGACCTTCCAGCTTCCAGCAAAGGGGCACGTGAGACTGGTGCTTTTGCTGACTGTTCGCCTGAGAGGACAGAGACATTGTGAGGGTTGGGGATGGCAGCGAGCTGGTAGGTATGTGAGGGGCTGAAATGAAATGGTCAAAAAGAAACTATGGGGCTTCCCTGGTGGCGCAGTGGTTGAGAGTCCGCCTGCCGATGCAGGGGACACGGGTTCATGACCCGGGCTGGGAAGATCCCACATGCCGTGGAGTCGCTGGGTCTGTGAGCCATGGCTGCTGAGCCTGTGCGTCCGGAGCCTGTGCTCCGCAGCAGGAGAGGCCACAATAGTGAGAGGCCTGTGTACCGCAAAAAAAAAACACACACAAAAAAACAAACAAAAAATAAAATTCTAGAGTTCAAAGTACAATAACTTTGAACTCTAGAAATGAAAAATTCTCTGGAAAGGTTCAACAGCTGATATAAGCAAGCAGAAGAAACAATGAACTCAAAATAGGTCAACTGATATTATCCATTGAGGAATAGAAAGAAAAAAGAATGAAGAAAAATACACAGAGCATCTGAGATCTGTGCACACCATCAAGTGAACATTTTAAATAACAATACACATAAATAGAATCCTGGAAGGAGACGAGAGAAGGTGGCAGAAATACTGGAAGAAGTAAGGGCCAAAAATTTCCTTCCAAGTTTTGAAGAAAAACATTAATCTACACCTCCAAGAAGCTGAACAAACTCCAAGCAGAATAAACTTAAAGAGATCTACACATAGGCACATCCTTACCAACTGCTAAATGACAAAGACAAAAAAAAAATCTTGAAAGCAGCAAGAGAAGCAACTCATCATGTATGAGACATAAGAAGATTAACAGTCACTTCCACAAGTCATTTCTTTTCAGAAAATATGGAGGCCAAAGGCAGTGGGAAGACATATTCAAAGTTCTGAAAGGAAAACCCAATAAACAAAAAATGTCAAGAATTCTATAAAAAAAGAAACTGTGGTGAGAATTCCCTGGCAGTCCAGTGGTTATGAAACAGGAGGGAAGGGGGCAGGGCACAACCTTTGAAAGAATGACATAGCCCAAGGACATGACATAAACTGATTAGAACCAAATGGGTCCAAGATGGCAGACAAGTCAAGTTCCACTAGACCTTGAGCCTCAGTATACGCTCACTGTAACACATCAGCAAGCTAAATGACACACCCACAGGCGCCATGACAGTTCCCAGGCCCACCATAAGGATCAAAAAGTGGGCGGTGGCCCAATTCCTGGAAATCCCCGCCCCTTCCCGAAATAGCTGGAATACTCCTCCCACTCATTAGCATATGAAAATACCCACCGCTATAAAAACTGACAACCCCATAATCTGGTGCCTTTTCTCACCTTCTGAGGTGGCCCACACTCTGTCTGGGGAGTGTGTTTCTCTCTGAATAAATCCACTTCTTACCTATCGCTTTGTCTCTCACTGAATTCTTTCTGTGATGAGACATCAAGAGCCTGAGCATCATTAAGTCCTGAAACCAGGTATGTGATCTCAGTTGGAAGACCGTAGGTTTTGGCGGGGTTCGAGTCCTGGCCGAGAGGGTTCAAGTCCCGATCTGGGTCTAGGCTGGCTTTGAGTCCCAATCTGAGGTGCACCGTTTCAGTTAGGACTGTGTGCTTTCACTGCCGAGGGCCTGGGGTTCAGTCCCTGGCTGGGGAACTAAGATCCCGCAAGGCAAGTGGCCAAAAAAAAAAAAAAATCTGTGGTGACATGGGCTACTCTGAGCTGTGCCCAGAGGTCCCTAGGGGTAGAGAGGATACAACGCATCTCAAGCATTTCCATGGGGGCACAGAATCAGTCAGGAAAGCCTAGTTGGTGCTGTGCTAGTTTGGTGCTTTGCAGGTAGTGAGTACCCTTGACCAAGGGGTTGTGTCCATAGGACAAGCACTCAGCCTTCCCTCTGTTTTTTTGCCTCATGTTTATACAAGTGTTGAGGTTGGCAATTTTTGCAGCGTGCTAGCCACAGGGTAGTTAGGCTTCAGGATGGGGGAGTGATGTAACTGGACAAGCTTGGGCATGTGCCAGGGCTTAAAGGCTGCCTGGCAGGCAGTTTGGGAGGGCGTTTCTGTTGGGGAGGAGGTTCTCACCTGAAGAAACCCTTGCAGTCCTCAAAAGTCAGGGCCTGGAAATGATAGCCTGTGGCTCAGTTCCTGCACACCACACAATTCCTCTGCTCATCGTCCTCACGGGCCATGGCTTCAGGTGTTGCAGTGGCTGTCACAGGCCCCTGAATGTCAGAGGGGTTATCAGTCAGCTCTGGACCACCCTTGACCTTCTTCCCCTTCTGCAGAGCCTCTTCCCAAACCTGCCCTCGGCCTGACCCCCTGCATTATCTGCACTTTATTGCTTTTAGTCTCTGGACTCCGAAAGTTTTCCTACCTGCTTCTCTTCCCACTCTGACCCTGCTTTCCCCTTGAGCTCAAGAGCTGCTAGTGTTTAGAGTTAGGGATTACGGCCCTCAGTATCTGGAAAACAAGGATAGAAACTGCTCCTTATCAGATCCATGTAGATTTTCCCTATTGCTGAGGAGAGAGGGAGAGAGCAAGCTTTTTCACATGACGTACGTCAACAGTAAAAGAATAGGCATAACAGTTGTACAAAGCTCCCAAAAGGAAAGTTCTTCAAAAGACACTGGGGGCCAATTAAGGGCTTATGTAAAGAGCTAGAAGAGGTCCCACTTCCCAAGAAGGGAGGGCTGAGAATTAAATCAGAATAGCCTCTAAAACATTAGATATATGGGATTGATCTGGGGGCTCTTGCACCAGAGCTGGCATCATGGGAGTGTGCCCTGTGCAGTCACACAGGCTCTGTGCTCAGAGGAATCTTGGGCTTGGTTTAATGCTCTGATGTTGCCGCTGTCTTGAAATTCTTTTTTTTTAAAAATAAATTTATTTATCTATTTTTGGCTGCGTTGGGTCTTCGTTGCTGTGCACGGACTTTCTCTAGTCGTGGTGCGCGGGCTTCTCATTGAGGTGGCTTCTCTTGTTGCGGAGCATGGGCTCTACACGCGCGGACTTCAGTAGTTGTGGTACTCGGGCTCAGTAGTTGTGGCACACGGGCTTAGTTTCTCCGCGACATGTGGGAGCTTCCCGGACCAGGGCTCGAACCCATGTTCCCTGCATTGGCAGGTGGATTCTTAACTGCTGTGCCATCAGGGAGGTCCTGTCTTGAAATTCTTAATGATGTTTGAACAAGGAGCTCTGCATTTTCATTTTTCAGTGGGCCCTGCAAATTATGTACCTGGTTTGTATGGAGACAAAAAAAAAAAAAAAAGAATCAGAAGTAGGAGCCTTCACTGGGGTTGTCTAGTGCTCCATAGACACTGAAGAATATTTTTGCAAGTGTAAAAAGTGTGTATGTGTCCAGATGGCCAAGAGGCAGTTGAAAATATGCTCAACATTGTGAATTATTAGAGAAATGCAAATCAAAATTGCCATGAGATATCACCTCACACCAGTCAGAATGGCCATCATCAAAAAGTCTACAAACAATAAATGATGGAGAGGGTGTGGAGAAAAGGGAACCCTACTACACTGTTGGTGGGAATGTAAATTTGTGCAGCCACTATGGAGAACAGTATGGAGGTTCCTTTAAAAAACTAAAACTAGAGCTACGATATGGTCCAGCAATCCAACTCCTGGGCATATACCTGGAGAAAACCATAGTTTGGAATGATACATGCACCCCAATATTTATTGCAGTGCTGTTTACAATAGCCAAGGCATGGAAGCAACCTAAATGTCCATCGACAGACAGATGGATAAAGATGTGGTACATATATACAATGGAATATTACTCAGCCATTAAAAGGAATGAAATAATGCCATTTGCAGCAACATGGATGGACCAGGAGATTATCATGCTGAGTGAAGTAAGTTAGATAGAGAAAGACAAATATGATATCGCTTCCATATAGAATCCAAAAAAAATGATGCAAATGAACTTATTTACAAAACAGAAACAGACTCACAGACGTAGAAAACAAACTTACGGTTACCAAAGGGGAAAGATGGGAGGGAAAGATAAATTGGGAGTTTGGGATTGACAGGTACACTCTACTATATTTAAAATAAATAACCGGGGCTTCCCTGGTGGCGCAGTGGTTGGGAGTCCGCCTGCCGATGCAGGGGATACGGGTTCGTGCCCCGGTCCGGGAGGATCCCGCATGCCGCGGAGCGGCTGGGCCCGTGAGCCATGGCCGCTGAGCCTGCGCGTCCGGAGCCTGTGCTCCGCAGCGGGAGAGGCCACAGCAGTGAGAGGCCCTCATAACGCAAAAAAAAAAAAAAAAAAAAAAAAGGGCAGTAAAATAAATAACCAACAAGGACCTACTATATAGCACAGGGAACTCTGCTCAGTATTCTGTAATCAGCTAAATGGGAAAAGAATTTGAAAAAGAATTGATGCATGTATATGTATAACTGAATCACTTTGCTGTGCACCTGAAACCAACACAACATTGTAAATCAACTATAGTCCAACATAAAAATTAAAAAAAATTTAAAAGGTGGGAATTTCTAAAAGAAAGAGTGGGTATGTGTGTATACACATACACATGCACTCTCTCTCCCAAACTTTATGAGCAGAAAAAGTAATTTCAAAAGCTGTTTGGATGTTTTGGGGATGGGTAACATGTTGGATACATCTGTGTTGGATAAATCCGATCCCACACACACCGGCATAAGGTCCAAATCTCAGTCTTTCACTTTGAAAGGTCTTTCTCACTGTACATCTCCCTGGGTGTTTGCTGTTTCTGCACTAATATAGTCTTCTCCCACTAGAATACAGCATTTTTTTTTTTTTTTCTCGGCATATCCTCTGCTTCTTCAGTTAAGGGTTAAATTATAATTAATGATGTTCTAACGGTGAGTTAAAAGCCCAAGTGGAGGCTAGAGCCATAAAAATACACTTAGAGAGACAGAGACAGAGAGGAGAGATTGGGTTAAAAAGAGCCTTGTTTAGGTCCCCTTCATCTCAAGTAGGTGTAACATCCAACTATGTATAATTTACTGCATTTGAAGTAAGCTGAGCTCCAGAGAACACAGGTGCTTGCATCTGGTCCTTGGGAGTCGGTGAGCATATTTATGCATATGCATCTGTTGGTATCTTTGCTTGAGTAAGACTCTGTGAGAATTCATACTAACTCATTCAATCAACAAATACTGACTGAGAACCTACTATGTATTAGACACTAAGGATAAAAAAGATGAATAAGATGCTCTCCTGCCCTCATGGGGTTTAAAGGTGCTAGTGGAGAGACAGACCTTTAAATATATATAAAGAAATATAATCAGGAACTGCCCTGGTGGTCCAGTGGTTAAGACTCAGCACTTCCACTGCAGGGGGTGCAGGTTCGATCCCTGGTTGGTGAACTAAGATTCAGCATGCCGGGCGGCACGGCCAAAAAAAAGAAAGAAAAGAAATATAATCCTATCACTGATGACGCTATGCACAGAGCATTCCGAGACCACAGAAGAGGGGCACCTAATCCTGCTTTGGCAAAGAGGTGTTGAGGAGGAGGCAGGAAAATCTTCCTGGAGGAGTGACAGCTGAGTTGATTTTTAAAGGATAAGAAGGAGTTAGCCAGATACAAATAAAAGGTAGTTCAGGTAGAGGGTACAACCTGAGAAGTTCAAGAAGCCAGATACAAAAAAGTAAATATGGTAGAACTACAAACAGGTCTTTCTTGCTGGAGCATAGCATTTCAGGCTGGAGTGGGAAAAGAAAAGTCTAGAGAGATGGGGTATGAGGCTGAGATGTAGGCAGGGCCAGTTCATGGGAGACCTCGTGTGAGAAAGCAGCTTAAGTCCATCAGGAAGCTTTTAGAGGGTAAGATGGGAAATGACATGGTCAGATCTATTCTAGATATCCAACTACTGGCTGTTTGGAAGATAGATTTGAGGGGGCAGGACTGGAGGCAAAGAAACCAGTTAGAAACTCTTGCCATAAAGTAGGTGAGGGATTAAGCCTGATCTAGGATAGTGGTAGGATATAGTGGAGGAGAGAGTTTTGAAAAATACCTGGGAGGTGAAATAATTGGAACTTGGTGATTACTAGAATGTCTACGTTGAGCAAGAGGAAGAGGTAAAGATGACTCCAGGTTCCTAGCGTGGGTGATTGAGTGGATGGTGGTACCACCAACTGGGATAGAGACTACAGGAGGAGTATACGGCCCTCCCTACTTGGGCCTCTATCCTTTTCCACAGTTGCAGATTTACTCTAGCAATAAGTTATTAAGTACCCACTCTGTGGCGAGGCACTATGGAAAGGGATAAAAGAGAGGGTTCCTATTATCAAGGAATTTACTGTCTGATTATGGAGATTGCATAAGTAAATGGAACTCCTAGATCTTACAAGGAAATATATAATCAAACTCTAAATTGTGTGGTAAAGATCATGTATCATATTATGGGTATTAATTGCTTCATTAATTTGTTCTTATTATGAGCAGCGTACTGTGTAAGAATCCTTACCAGTGTTAACCCTGAAACATAAGTAATATCACCACTTTACAGATGAGAAAACTGAGTCCAGAGAGTTTAAATAACTTGTACGAGGATTACTATACCCAATAGTTTATTAGATGACTTCACCTGGATGTCACACAGGCATCTCAAATTCAGTATGTCTACAGTGAAGCTTTATGATCCCTAAAGCACAAGCAACATAATAAAAAAATAAGTGGTACTGCATAGCAAAAGAAATGATCAACAAAATGAAAAGGCCACTTACAGAATGGGAGAAAATATTTGCAATCCACACATCTGTTAAGGGGTTAATATCCAAAATAAATAAGGAACTCATACAACTCAATAGCAAAAAAACCCAAATAATCCAATTTTAAAATGGGCAAAGGACCTGAGTAGACATTTTTCCAAAGGGGATATTCAGATGGTCAACAGGTACATGAAAATGTGCTCAACATCGCTAATATTTATGGAAATGCAAATCAAAACCACAATGAGATATCACCTCACAACTGTTAGAATGACAATCATCAAAAAGACGAGAAATATAAAAATTGTGAATCACTATGTTGTACATCTGAAACTTATGTAATACTGTTCATCAACTATACCTCAATAAACACATACATACACACGCACGCGCGCGCGCGCACGAAAAAAGAAAAGAAATAACAATTGTTTGTGAGGATGTGAAGAAAAGGGAAACTGTGTGCACTGTTGGTGGGAAAGT